TAAGATAACAAATGGGATATTATAAAACTGTTAATTATGATCACATTACAAATGACTAAATTTTGATCCCTGAAATTCTTGGCAATACCAATGTTCACTTTGTCTGGTTTTGTTGCAGCATGCCCCATATGATTGTCCGAGGTCCTAACTAACGCAGATTTCTACAAATTTAGAAATCATCTGCAAAAATTACTATATATGTATGATGTTACACTCGCACATTCCTGGTTTGTCGTACTAATCAAATTTGTGGGATTTGGTGGATTTTTGCAAATAATTTATATGTGGTTAAATCGGTCCTAAAAAGACTGATTAAGGACCAGTCTTTGGATCAGTATTCTCAGTCCTCGGTCCCAAATCTTGAGACTGAAAGACTGGTCCTTAAAAAGGAAATAATGTAACGTATGCTATTCAAAAAGTTTATGAATAAAATTGTTAACAAACCTCAGAGTTCTGATAACCGAATGGACAATTAAACCCTACTACTACTGTTTAATTTCCGACTACAAAAGTGTTTTTTATAAGAGAAACAAAGAATATATTTATTTATTATCATGTGTGAAATTATTTCGTCACGCGTAATTAATTTCGTAATTACGTATTTACAACCGTGTAACAATGATTTTCAATTGTTTTCAAAGTAGGGGGATGCTATCTTTTGGTACATATTACCATCCCATGTATATTTGTATTCTTTTTTGTAATAAAAAAAGACTGGTCTTTGAGACCGATCCAACACTAATTACGAGAGGACATTTTTTTCTATTGTTCATATTTCATACATATACTGTATACGCAAATGTTACTTGGAATCAATTATTATTTTTATTATTGACATTATTAATTAATTAGCGTAAAATGATACAAGAGGGAAAATTAAACTGATAAAATTACATTATTAAACAACATATAAATAAATAATAATATAAAATACAAATTGTTTCTTTGATTCCATTAAATCAAAATCTCAAAAAAAATATACAAAAAAAATAGTTATATATAAAATATATATTATATATATATAAATAAATACTAATAATAATAACAATAATAATTTTTATTTAGTGGTAGGAGTTGAATTATTCTGAAAAAGTCCTAATGGAACATCATCATCATCACCAATTTGGGTATCGGTATTATTATGTTTATAAGGATTTAAGGTATCTGCACCAGAAGACCGAGGTCTTGATACTAATAAATTGTTCTTTAGACTATTTTTTGAAACTTGTGGAACTGATTGCCTTGAATTTGCCATTTTTAATGATTTTGGTTTCGAATTAAAAAATAACGATTTCCCTGGTTTAGGCGTTGGTGAAACTGATCTTCTATTACTACTACCATTGCTATTATTATTTTTATTTTTACTTTTGTTATTTAAATAATGATCTACATTATCATTATCATCATCATTATTAATATTATTAATATTATTATAATTATCATAATGATTGTCCACGTCCCCTATATCACTTCCTCCTACATTTCCTACGCCTGCTTCCGCTTCCTCGAGATATCCACCATCTGTACCATCAGATGTATATGAATCTCTAAAATGATGATATTGATTAGAAGGAGGTTGACGACCTTCGACATCTTCGTTTTCATCAATGGCATCATTATTACCATTGCCATTACCGTTGTTCACATCTGAATATTCATTTTCCTTGGTATGGGGTGATGATGAATATTGAACGGGCGACATTGGCGGAGTGATGAATTGTTGTGAAAACTGTAGCATATCATATTGTGGTGCTTTGTATGCTATCTCAGCATTACTACCACCACCTCGACGTCTCGCCTCGGCTGCAGCTTTTTTGTCTGCTTTTCTTCTTTTTCTTTCTCCAATCGACTTACCCATTTTACTTTTAGCCTTCAATGTTTCTTTTTGTGCATGTTGAACATTTGGGTTATTGTTTTCACCATGTTCCATTTGTTGTTTGTTAATCAATGACAAATACCAGAACATCATATTAGATATCAAGACTTGCTCGTGCAGTGGACGACGAGGATTTGCCAATTTAATATGTGACAATCGATAAATTGCGCGCTCGACATGAATTGGAAATCGATTATAATTGGTGTATTTTGTTTTTTTATTACTGTTTACTATTGATTGCTGTTGCGTATTAGTATTATTGTTATTACTACTTGAGGATGTGTTTGGTGATTGGTCCTCTGATGATTTTGATTTTTGGGACCATGAAAAGAATGAGGCAAGTGAAAGTTTAGATGATTTTTCTTTAAGAACTGGTGGTGATGACGATGTTGATATAGTAGAAGAAGTAGTAGTTGTTGTTGTTGTTGTTGTTGATGTTGTTGTTGATGTTGATGTTGAAATTGCAATTGCTGATGTAGTTGATTTCGTTGTATCTTCGGTTTCTAATTTCTCGGATTTTTCAGATTTTTCAGATTTTAGTTTTTTAGATTTTTCTTTCAATGACAATATTGATGTTGATGTTGTAGAATTTTCAATATGATCATTATTATTACTTTCTAATTTGTTTTTCTTTGATTTTTCTCTTACAACCGAAACATTATTATTATTATCAACAACACTAAGCATGCGATTGTCAATATCGGATTTTTCAACAAATTTATCGGATTTTTGCTTTTTATTTTTAGATTCGTCAGAATTAGATGACCAAGGTAAAAGGTAACTCCAGGCAGAAGATCTTTTCGTTGAGCTAGTAGGTGTAACAGTAGCAATAGATGGTGAAGTTGTTGGAGAAGTCGTGGTAGATGATGATGATGGTGTAGAAGTTGTGGCGGCGGTGGTGGTGACGGTGGGTGTAGTGGCCGTTGAAGAAGGAGAAGCTGATTCTGATAGTAATATAGGTGAAAGTGGAGATAGTGGGGATATAGGTGATATAGGTGATAATGATGTAGGCGAACTACTTGTTGAAGTTTTATTATTATTGCTAATAGTATTACTATTGTTGCTTGATGACGATGATTTTGATGTGACGCTATTTAATTTATTTGATAATGTATTAACGCGTAGTTTTAATTTTTCTGCCAAAGGTCTACGAGTTTCTGGTGTACGATTTTCTTGCGAAACATCAAGAGCATCAACTGGTAATGAATTTGATCTTTTATTCGATGAAAGCGATGGTAATGATGATGATAATTTGGTTTCGTCGTCTTTTAATGTGATTCTTATAGGTCCTGAACCATCTTTCACATCTATACAATCAAGTTCAATAATAGTCTCGTTTTTAATTGGTTCTGGTTCACTGTAGAACAATTCTTCCTCTCCTTCTTCCTCCTCCTCGTAATCGTCTTCTTCCTCATAACCTTCCCCTTCCTCCTCGTAATCGTCATCCTCCTCTAGATTGTTATCTTTGTTGCTTAATCCTGGTAAAGAATCACCAATATCTTCAATTGATTGAGAAAGTTGTGATGGTGAATCTGTTACAGAAATTTTAGGGACATTTAATAAATTTGCATGTTGCTGAATATTATTACTACTGTTATTTTTATTGGAAGGAGAATGAGTTGACTTTGTTCTTCGATGATAAGAAAATCTTCTTGGATTTTGTTCACCGGCAACTGAATTTCTACGAAGTTTGGTACGGGCAGCACGTTTAAGAGCTGGCATCATTCTTGGTACTAGAATGGGCGAATCAACATCAGGTGATGAGTGTCTGTCAAATATGTTTGGATCACTTGGATCAAAATTCGATCCCATCATATTTGGTATATTTAAACTTATACTTCTCCTTAGAAGATTCAGTTTGTTGGTTTCGCTTGCTGGGCTAATATTTCCATCATATGCTAATTCATACGATTCCAATTTAGACTTTGATAAATCTTTTAAATCTGTTGCAGATTTTTTGGATTTTAAAAGTGTTAATGATGGTTTTTTATCATTATTTTCATCTTTTTCATTATTACCATTATCATTACTATTCTTATGATCATCAATCTCATCAATTTCGTCATCTTCATCTGGAATATATTGTTTTGAAAGTGTAGATTTCCTTCTCCTTAAAGCCGCCGAACCAGAACTGAAACCTTCTTTTGCGTGAGTTTTTAACCATTTCATAAATTCATTGGGAGCAATTTCTGGATGTAAATGAGCAGGAACCCAAAATAAATGTGACGGATTCTCGGTTTCAATATGAAGTTCTTCAGTCATTGTTTCAGAACTCCCTAAATCATCGCCGCCACCATTATCGCTATTGTCATTATTACTAATGTTATTAATACTACTACTACTGTTGTTATTAATGTTGTTATTATTATTAAGATAAATATTATCATCCATACTAATTATTGATCTTCTCTTCAATGTTGTTTCTTTCAAATTTGAATTTTTCCTTTCTATATTATTAGGATTAAATTCAATGTTATTTTTATTTTTATTCCGTTTTTTACCTTTGCTATTTTTACTCTTAATTTTGCTTTTAATAATTATATTCTCTTCATATTTTTCAACACATTCATCCTCACCCTCACCATCCTCATCATCCTCACCACCACCATCCTCATCACACTCATCAACCTCTTCATCTTCCTCGTCTTCATCTTCTTCCTCATCTGATACTGTTATAATATTTGTCATCGTTATTGTTGGCAATGGTGATATTTGTGTAATTGTTGAAGTTGATATCGTTGATGTAGATGTAGATGTATCGTTTGTTATATTAGTATCATTTGTTTTATTTGTTTCGTTTGATGTGATAGAATCATTAGATTCGGTGGAATCAACAGAATCTGAAGATATCCTTTTATTGTTGTTGTTATCATCATTATTAGAGTGTTCTTGTTTTATCGTCGTTATTATTTTTATAGATGGCATTGATGTAGATTGCATTGATGTGGATTGAATTGATGTGGATTGAATTGATGTTGATTGCATTGATGATGATGAATCTTTAGAATTAATAATAAGATTATTTTGATTATTTTCTAAAGTCACAGTATTTTTGGTATCATTTTTATTATTAATTGTTGATGATGGTGAATGAATACTAATGCCTTTGTCATTGTTGTTGTCAATGTTGCTGTTTTTGATGTTCTTATCAATATTAACATCAGTTATGTCGCTTGTTCCAAATACTGCATCTAAGTATTTTTTAGAAAATTCTACAAGGCTTTCTTCTGATTTTTCATTTTCATTTACCATATTATATATATATGTATGTGCGTGCGTGCGTGCGTTTTCTTTTTGAATAGAAGTAAAATATATTGTTGTTTAAAGTAAAAAAGGTTACAATTATTTATAGTCCTAATGATGTTAATAATAATATTTAGTGATTGCTTCTCTTTTTTGTAAAACAAGATTTAAATTTTCGAGATTAATTATATTTACTTTTGTAAAAAGAATTTTTTAAATTTAATAGGAAAAGAACAAAAAATTATAAAAATTAAAAAAAATATTGTTTTTATTGTTGTCGTTGTTGTTTATTATGTATGTAAGAATTTTTTTTTTCATAATTGAAACATAAATTTGTGAAAAATTTTTTGTTACCTTTTTTAACTTTTTGGATTTTGGTATTCCATATCAAATTATAAACAATAATAAAATAAATTAATGTTATAAAGAATTATAAAGTCACATGAATATAGAAATTCATTACATAATTATATTTCTAATTTAAGACAATAAGTACTACCACACAATATATCAAAAACGTTTCTCCCTTTTTTTTCCGCACTCCTTATACTAACTAACTAATACTATCTTTCAATAATTCAATTACTGTAAATGTTTCATTAAATTATGAATGTTCACTATTTTGGTTGGTATTGCTCCCATAACCCAAAAATTTTTTTTGTAGTCCAGAATCCTGGTATTAATATACTACTAATTTAGTTTCCAAATATTAAAGAGTAGCAATATTGATAAATAAATAATACAAAGTCATCAATAAAAAAATAATTGGTTGCAAGATCTTTGTGTTTTTTTTAAATTTTATTTATTTTCAAAAAGAAAAATGAATGTATAATAATAATAATAATAATGATAATTAATAATAGTGTATGAGGGATCAACATCGGCAATTTTTTAGCCAAATATTTAATGTGGATCGATCTAACTTATTTTGTTATGCCATCTTTTGAATCAAGCAAGTTTTTCTGTGTAGTTATAAATGTCTGTGCAATTAAATCAAGTGACCAACCCCTTCTAGTAAATTTAATAATAAATTTATATTTAATGATAAAAAAAAACTTTACACAAATGCTCCTTCCAGCAAAAAAATATATTTATATATTTATAAGCATATATAAAAATAAAATAAAAATAATAAAATTTTCTATAAATTCGAGACAAAAGAATCAAATAATTAATTTTACTAATATTAATATTATTATTGCAAATCATATATTATTATTATCAATTTTTTGTTATATCTCCTCCATATTACTATCATCATCGTCATCATCATCATCATCATCATCATCATCTGTATAAGATTCATCGTGGCTAAGGTCATCATCTGTAGAATTGTCATCTGTATTAGCCTCAACTACTTCTTTTGTGGCAAATCTACTCACATACTCTATTAATAGATTACAATAATATTTTTTTTAGTATATCATTAATGTATTAATCATGCAAATCTCTCAAAAATATATTTATCTCATATAATATGTAACATAGATCTCACCTTTTACCCTAGCTTCATATGTATGAGGTTCTCTCATTAACAAAGCAGCAGCTTCGCCATTAAGTGGATCAGTTGGGTTTGGATATCGTAAAAGTTGAGGAAGAAAAACTTCAAAAATATTAATCATATCAAACATTGGACTCCAAGTCTGATTGATAACATCAAGACAAACGGATCCGCTCCTATATACATAAATAAATGATAATAAATAAATAAATAAAAAATAAATTTTGATGATTGCTAAATATTAAGGAAAAAGAAAAAGAAAAAGAAAAAGAATTTAAAATTTAAAATTTTCTAGTTAATATTAAAATTAGTAATAATTACAGTTCATCAATATTTGGATGGAATATCTTATTCATAAATCCAATCGAAGGTGATTTAAATGGATATTGTTCAGGTAGTTCTACGTGAACTTTCCAAATTCCACCGGTAAATGGTGCTTCATAAATTAACAATATATTAGCGAATAATTAATGATTTGTTAATATTAGTATATATATTATATAATTAATTGATATACTTACTATCTTCTGGTCCATGAAATCTAACATAAAATTCTTGCATGTTATCATTAATAAGTGTCACTTCATAATCACTCATAAGACTAATTTTTCCCAAATATTATTATAAAAATCATTAGAATTTATTAAAATTTAAAAATTAATCATATATGTTTATAAACATAATTATTGTTAATTACTAATGGAGATATTTATAACATACAGTTTCATAACATCGGTTTCAATCCTTCTACGCGTCGAGGCCATTTTTTTCTCTCGCAATCTCAAAGGCTATTTCTACAAATAAAACTTTATCGATAAAATTATAAAACAGAACTTTATTTGTTCGCTTGGTCGATTTATTATTTAATGATTAGTAAACAGTTTGACAAAAGAAGAAGAAAGTGGGAAGTTGCTAGGCTCTGAAAGTTTTTAGAGATGTGGGGAAGCTAATGAAGAAAAAATTTTTTATTTTTTTGTTTAAAAAAAAAAAGTAACAATTATAAGTTATTTATAATCAAATTAGAATGACTCATCGAGTCACAGCATATGGTCACATGGTACAAATCATTCAATAATATCAACCTTCTTTCCCAACTTTTGACTCTCCTTCAGCTATTGGGTTACTTACTGAACAATTTTTAAAATAAAAGTTCCACAATTATCTCATTTTTTTCCATATTTATATATGATTTACGATTATCATTGTAGATCACATCCTATTTCGCTAAAATTTATTGTCACATGAAAAAATTGGTCCAATAGAATTTCTACTTCCAATACTTCGCGTATTGATTTCCTCCCAAAAAATTATAATGTCATCAATTAAACCAATTGATTCAACTTCAATACATAAAATTTGTTCAGGTCAAGTAATTCTTGACTTAGCAATGGCTGCGAAAGAACTAGTTGAGAATAGTTTAGATGCAAAAGCAAAAACAATTGGTATTTTTTTCAAATTTTTTAACACAATTTAAAAAAAATATTAGATAATTTTTTGAATTTATACGCGTCTTTTGATTTCTAGAAATAAGATTCAAGGAGTATGGTCTCCAATCTATAGAAGTAATAGATGATGGAACTGGAATACATGAACAAAATTATGAAAGTCTTGGTATTCAAAATAAGGATATTTTTATAAAAATTTATTTAGAGATTTTATATATTTATTATTGTCAATTATTATTTTCTATAGCACTTAAGCATCATACATCAAAACTTTCAAATTTTGAGGATTTGTTAGATATTGAATCTTTTGGTTTTCGGGGTGAGGCTTTAAGTTCATTGTGTGCTCTATCAAAACTTACAGTAACTACATGTACTGAAGAAAATGTCCCAACAGGAGCAAAATTAGAGTATGACTCTCATGGAAACCTAATCAGAAAATCTTCAATTGCTCGCCAGGTATTATTATTATTACCATTATTATTGCATTATTTTATAATTTAATATATACATATCAGAACATGCGCACTTTTATTATACATATAATTTTAATTTACATTTTAATTATTGACTGGTTAAGTAAGAGAGGAACAAGTATAATGCTTCAAAATATATTTGAATTACTTCCTGTAAGATATCATGATTTCAAGAAAAATATAAAGCGTGAATTTGCAAAAACTTTAGTTTTGCTACAAGCTTATGCTTTAATCTGTGAAAATATTAGAATCATTTGCACAAACCAAGTCAAAAATAGGTATATATTTGTATATATGTGTATATATATATATGTTTATTAATTTATTAATTTATTTATCATTATCATTTAAGTGCAAGAACCAAATTACTAAGTACAAATGGGACAAATAATAACATTAAAGATAATATTATTAATTTATTTGGTTCAAAGTTATTTGATCATTTGATCACATTGGATTTGAAGATTTCATTTAATAGCAATAACAAAAAAATAAATAAGATATCTTCTGGAAATTCAGAAAATCAAAAGTAACATTAAAAAAATTTACATTTTTAAAATCTCCATCAAGGTTTATAAAAATTGACTTATTTAATAATTTTATTTACAGTGAAGATCTTAAATATATAAATATTTTTGGTTATATTTCTAAACCTATTAAAGGTTGTGGTCGTGGATCTAATGATAGACAATATTTTTACATTAATGGGAGACCTTGTAATTTACCAAAGGTATAGTATGATATAACTATGATGTATGAAATATAATTTACTAAAATCAAATATCTTTAGATTTCTAAAGCTTTCAATGAAATATACAAGAGCTTTTACACAAATCAATGCCCAGTTATAATTGCTGATTTCAAGCTTACAAAATGTGCGAATATGATTTTTCTCACTTATTTATCATTTACAAAATATTTTATTATATCTAAATTAATTATATATATATATACACTTATTATATAGTTTCATATGATGTTAATGTTAGTCCAGATAAAAGGACAATATTTATTCATGATGAAGATGAAATTATTGAGAGTTTAAAGGTATGGAATAACATAATATATATATATATATATTATCTTGTTAATTATTTAAATTAATCATACTTTTTTTTTTTTTGATATTAGAATGAAATGAATAAATTATTTGAACCATTTCGATCGACATTTACTTGCTTTAATGTTGGAAAATTAGAATTACCTAAGCATGATACTAATGAATCTGATGTTTTAGAAAATAATAACAATGCTGACATTAATAATAATGACACTCTAGATTACTCTTCTTTTTCTTCTTTTTCTAATAATAATAATGATGATGGTGATGATATTGTTATTACCAATATTGATGATACAGAGAATAATATAAATGGGATTGTAGAAAAGGCTACTTTACATACAAAAAGGAGTAGTAGGAACTTTAATAGTGAACAAATGTCTATGTTAAATTTTGTTAAAATTGATAGTAATAATACGAGTAATAATAATCCAATCATGTTGACTAGTGAAGATGATGATGGTGATAATGATAATAAATTAGTTCAGCTACATGTACCAAAAAAGCAAAAAATTACCAAAGAATCAATATTTAGCAACAAAAATTGTTCAACCTTTTTTACTGAAAGATTTTCAAATAATTCTATGGATAAAAAACCAAAAGATGATGAGGATGATGATGGGGGTATATTTGAAAAGTGTTTGGAGGAAGCATCTTTGATAAATCTGGATGATGATGATGATGATAATGTTCAACAAAATTTTTTAATAGATTATTCACTAGATGTCAATGATGAAACAACATCTAATACCATTGACTTGGATCAAAACAAAGATGTTGATTCTGATTTACAAAATATTATTAGATGTGATTCTAATCTACAAAATGTTAGAAATAGTTCTAATAGACCAAAGATTAATGTTGACTTTAATTTTGAAACATTCAAATTGAAAAAAAAGAAAAATTTTATTTCAAATTATGAGTCAAAAGAAATTATTAATCAATCCAAAACTGATAATGAAAATTATTTAAAACATGCAGGAATTCTTGTTCGAGATAATGTAATTGCTGAACAAGTATTGGAAAAAGTTATAACAAAAAAAGATTTTTCATTGATGGAAATAATTGGGCAATTTAACCGTGGATTTATTATTACTAAACTTTGGAATTCTGATGATGGCTTTGATTTATTTATTATTGATCAGCATGCATCTGATGAAAAATATAATTTTGAAACTTTACAACTTCACACTAAAATACAAACACAGCCACTAATAAGGTTCTCTTCTGATTAATTCTTTCGGTTAATGTTAACTATTATTAATATTAATCATCTACTGATTTGAATAGTCCAAGAGCACTTCAACTGACAGCAACAGAAGAATTAACAGCAACTGAAAATCTTGATATATTGCAATCTAATGGATTTGAATTACTAGTTGATTTAGATGCACCCCCAACTAATAGAGTGAAGTTAATAGCACAACCTATCATTAAGAATATGATCTTTGAAATTAAAGGTATAACAATATTTACTATTAATATTATGGAATAATAATGCTAATCAATTATTTATAATTATAATATTGTTGATTTGTTTTTTGAATAGATTTAGAAGAATTGATTCATATGCTGTCTGAAAATCCAAGAACATTAGTAAGATGTTCTAAAGCAAAAAAAATGTTTGCATCCAAAGCCTGTCATAAATCTGTCATGGTAGGTGATGCTCTCAACAAACAACAAATGACAAAGGTTTGGAATTTAATTCAGTACTGATTTGGGGTGGATAATTATTATTTCTAAAATAATTTATTTATTAATATTAATCACTTATTAAATAAATAAATAGATCGTGAAACATATGGGAGAAATTGAACAACCTTGGGTAATTACAAAATTATTTATTTAAATTCAACAAATTAGAATTAAAGTCTTATGTAATTTTTATTATTACTATAATAATAACAAGAATTGTCCACATGGAAGACCAACTATGAGGCATCTTTTTGATATGTCAAAAATCCAATGTAGTAAACCCTATCATCTACTTTCTAGAAGTAATCAGGGTAGTCTTTACCATCTCTTCAAGAAATGTTGATTTCTGGCTCTAAACATTTGTAAAAAATATCCTTATAACAATAATTACATTTTCAAATCATTTTTTACAGTGCAGATCATCTATACTCGAAAGTTAAAAAAAAATTTTATCAATGGATAAAAAGTTTATGATTAAAATTTTAACACCTTATTGGCCAATTGAATGCATTAAATGTATTGTCAAACTACGTATAACTCTTGGAAAGATTTATTGTATGCTGTAACTGTTTATCTTTTCTTTTTTAAGTAGTACCAACATGAGTTAGATCAATCAATTAACCCTATTTGGTGATCCTATGGCGTATGGCACTTGCTATACGTCATATAGTATATATTAGTGTTGTGTAGAAATGGGTTGATCACTTGACTCAAGCAGGTGACTTTTTGATGCAATTAATTAGGTTATATGGAAATCATATATATATAAAAAAAAAATTGAGATTTTGGGAATTGAGTCAAAGCCAAATTAATTTTGATAACATGTATAGTTGTAACTCTCATGTGTTCATATGTTTGCACCCTTAGAATGCACCTTTGCTATATAAAGTAATGTTTTATTATTCATGTAACGCCACACAATGATTGCAATATAAATTATTTTTTTGTTATACAATATGGTCTGCATCAAAAAACTATTCAAATTCCCCTGAAGTTGCATCTCAACAAATATTGAAAGATAGGTGAAGGTGAGTTTGCACAATTGCAAAACATAATTAAATAGGTTCAGATTCGTTTAACATAAAAAAATTTATATTGCCATTTTTTCGTAAAGCTAATTCATTTCTTTTTTTAAAACCTTCACAAAATTTTTGACAGAAAAAGTTTGGCATGAAATTTTTTAATTATTATTCTAATGCAAAAATGTACATAATAATTATACAAAAACAATTACATTAGATTGTAACTTTAGTTCTGAAGATTTCGTATATAAAATTGCATGCTTCTATATTTTCTAGAAATTTGTCAATTAAAAATAAAAGAAATCCGATTATTTTGAAAAAAAGTATTGGATCAGACAGCAATTATCCTATTTATATTCAATAGTACTCATTCTTTAGGCGTTTTGAAATTATGTTCAACAGTATGAAAGGGAATATTCACTTCTTGATGTATTTTTCCTTGATGAATGAGTATTGTCAGGCCAGTAATGTAAATAACGTGAAACATTTTGAAAGTTAGGCCTCAATCTTCGTGCAACACGTGCTTATAAGATGCTAGAGATCAGTGTTAGAAATTCAGGGTGCGGAGGGTGCGGACGCAGCATGTTACACTAAAAATGTGGATCATTTTATGTGCAAATTATAATACTGTTGTATGTGAAATTGAAATATTATGGAGTGGGGGTGAAATTCTGATTGGCTAATTTGAATTTCACACATGTAAATTTGAATTTCACATATGTGAATTGCGAATTCACATAATTTCATTTTCACGTACAACAGTACCAAATAAAAATATGTTTTGTAAATTTATTTTTGACTCAAACATATCCCTCCTAATTAAAATATCTCTAATTATATCTCTTTCAAATGCTAATTAGAAAGAATATTTTCCCAAACAAATTTGATTAAAGAATAAATTAAGGAACAAAATGAATCTTGATACATTAAATAATCATTTAATTATTTTATTAAATGGACCTGAAATTGAAGACTTTAATTTTAAGAAAGCATGTGAATATTAAGATAAAAAAAAAATAGGAAGAACTATTTATTTCCATAATTTGTAACTTTATGAATTTGATCATGTGTGCACAAATTTTTTTATGCAGATCATAAGATCATTGAATTTCCAACACTGCTAGAGATAGAAAGTAGGAGTAGACAAAGACTTTTATTTTATAAATTTTTCAACGGGAGATAAGAAAAGCTGGTAAAGATATGCAAATCATGATAAACAACACATTTTATTGTTTTCTATACAAAATAATGTTGTGAACCACCATTATTTTTGTTACACACTGTATGTTATTTGACAAATACTGCGCCGCGCCACCAATTTTTCAAATCTCAAAATAGAGATGATACTCTTTGGTTATAAAATCACATGTCTCAATCAGTTATTTGTTCAGAGCATCCAATCAATATTGCTAGAAATAAATAAATATTAAGATATATTTTGTGAAGCTAAAGGTAGTAGGGAGAAATTCAGTATGGTATAACTCTCAAAGATGGTATGGTATGGTATGGTGTGGCCCATATTTTTCCATACCAAGTCACACAAAATTTTATTCTAAATCCTTTTTTTAGGGGTGTGAAGGAAGCAGGTTAGATTTAAGCATTGGTATACCAACATTTTATTACATACTATACCATATGTTATAAGGTTGCTTGCCGAAACCTCTTAATGACTGTCAAAACTCTGATGATTGACAAAATCCCCAATGTGAAACTCTGCTGAGACTCTAATAAACAATTAATGTGTAGCCTGCCAAAACTCTGTTGATTGATTTCTGGAGGAGTTTCGCCCATAACCTTAGTTCTGCAAAAGTTATACCATACTGAAATATTCCTATAATCAGCTAAAGGTGATGTATATACATACATTGTTTCACATATATATAATGGAAAGCTAGTGTGGCAAGTGTGAAGCAAATTTATTAAATTTTTGAATTAAATAAGTTTACTAGCTAATTAAAAATTATTATTAGATACTTGTTTTAATCTGAACTTTATATGGTGTAACAATTCTTAACTTGACTTTGAAGCCTTTCAACTCAGCATAGAGTCATTTTTTGGAAAGTCCATCAATAAATTTGTTTATTGGGGTAAGCTCTACAAAGTACTGGCTGGTTTTCTTTTCATTTAAAACACTGTCCTGCCCCTTCAGGGTGCTTTTAATCTTTTAAATTTCCTGAGTTTGGTGGTTTGGGCCACAGCTGTTGTTAATGCTCCTAGAATACATACCTGTTGGTGGTTGTTGTTGTTGTATATGTTGTTGTGGTGTAAATAATTTTGAACTGGTGGTGGGTTCTGATTTTGTGGCTCTTGTTGCTCATGGTATTCATGATTTAATAAGGTTCTTCCAGCCTGTTTTGTTGTTGATTATTATTTACCCTTCATTGATAATTTCTTCCTGCTTATTGTTGTGGTTGTTGTTGTCTTTGATTGCTTCTTTTCAACATTGTTTCAGAGTGCTAATAGCATTTTCTAGCCAAATGGCCTCTTTGTCCACAACTAAAACATTTTGTAATCTGGATTATAGTCTGATTTCCATTGCTATGGCTATTTACACTTTTCCCTAGCTGTACCACTTGGTTTGCTACTAATGTATTAATGTATTGTAGATTTGAATCATTGAGTGGGTTATCTTTCTTTAAGGTACTTTCTGCCTTCTTTGCTTGCTCCCAAGCTTCTCTAAAATATTTTGACACTGCTAATTCAGTAAATATTTTAATCTGTGATGGTTATACATGCAACCCAAATTGGTTTGGTGATTTCAATGGTCAAAATCATTCCAATTTTGATGGTAGAAAGTAGAAATTAATTACGGCACTCACTATTAAAAACATAAGTGTAAACCCCTTTACTACATGTGTAATCCCTTTATGACAGTGTCAAAATACTTTGGACTGCATGTATAGTGATGTTAATCCATTTAAAAATGTTTGTGATTTATCACTTGCTGGATACTGTCCTATTGGATCTGCTTTCATGCATAATTCTATTATTGCTCCTCATAAGAGTCAACATTTTCTCCTTCTTTCATTCATTGATTTCTCAGTTTTTTCATCCAGTTTTGTTGATGTTGTGCTGTACTGAAGTATCCAAAGGAAATTTTCTAAAGCTGACGTATTCTTCATACATTCCTGCTGGTCCATTCCATTTAAAATAGTCAAGCCAATTGATGATAATAGAATTGATTGTTGTGCACAAAGAATCATTTCTTTGTAATCTGTTTTTATTAGACAAAGAGGCCTCTTAAAGGAGATTGTTGAAAAAGCTGGATACAAAATCAATTTTTACCCTAAATTACATTGTGAACTTAATTTCATTGAAAGATATTGGGGAGCTGTGAAAAGGCACACTTGATTAAATTGTAATTATTCTTGGTCTGGTTTAAAATAATAGTTTCTGATGCTCTAGGTTCAGTTGATGTAATTAAATTAAAAGATTTGCAAGAGAATCATTTAGGTATATAGATGCTTACAGAAAAAGTTTGGCAGAATATGCAGTTCAAAAATATAAATCACATAAGCGAATGAATACTTCAGTCTATATTAAATGAAACAGATAAAATGGATAAATAAAACTTGCTATTCCTGTCATACTCAATAATTTCCTTCTGGAAAATGAATTTGACAAGATGCATTTTTTGATTTCAAATGGATTATGGCGCAGTCAATTCCGTCTTTAGATGACATATCATGGACTATGTTTTCTATTTGAATAAGCTTTATTTGGATTGTCTGTTTTATTTGTTATTCAAATTACATTGAATGTTTATTTTAATTTGTATAAAACAACTAATTCGACTAAGATGAATAAAATGAATAAACGAATAAAACTAATAAAACTAATAAATAAAATGAATTAAACGAATAAAGCTAATAAACTAATAAAACTAAAACTAATAAACATATTAAAACTAATAAAATAAATAGACCAATAAACTAATAAAGCCGATAAACAAATAAAATAAAAAACATCCTTAAAAATGCGTACTTAACTATGTTTTGTTTTTATAATTACTGTACCATACTAGAAAGTCTTTCTGATGAATCTTCATTGAAAATGTATGATATAATTAATTATAATAATTTTACAAAGTTGTTCATTGGCAGAATTGCAAAAATATAAATAGAACTCGAGTAGAAATAAGATTTAAAATGATTTTAATGGCAAAAGTAAATAAATAAGTTTTATGAAATGCAAGATCATCAGTAAAAAAAAAATATATTTAATGTTTTTATTATGTAGTAATGGATGATCTGCATCATCTATATTAAGATCAAATGTTGTTGTATGTGAAATCGAAATTTATAATTAAGGTGGTGGGATGATTTTATATGAAATTCTGATTGGCTAATTTGAATTTCACATATTCGATTGCAAATTCAGAGATTTTCATGCACAACATAGGATAGGATTTTTGATATTTATATGTCATCAAAATTATAACATTTTTCTCACAACTGTATTATTAAAAGTAAAAATGCATTCACATTATAATCAAGAAGAGGAAGGTAAAAAATAAATTAGCTAATAAATCAAGCAATAACTTACTCATTTTTACTTATTCAAATCTTGTAGAAGATTATAATAAAGTGGTAAGGATGGCTATTAAAGGTGGAGTGATGGGTTTAGGTTTAATGTTAGGTGCTTCACTTGTAGCTCAACGTTATTCACAAATTTATCGAAACTTGACTTTACCAATGAAAGCTTTCTTGGTTTCTTCAGGTACATATAACACGTATAATAATATAATTAATAAAATAATGAATTTTATCATTCACTAATATTTCCAACTAATAATATGATTTTCGTTTAATGATGATAATAGGTACAACTGCAGTTTTAATCATTGCAGCTGATCAAGCTAGCATTAATGTTCAACGTGCAAAGCGTCTAGTAGCTTTGCCAGATGATGGAACAACACCAAATAAACAAATTGAAAATGTAAAACCACGAAATACAAATCTTCATGTAATTAAAGATTATCTTTTAGATCATCGATATAAATTCTTGGTAGGTACCTGGGGATTAACAATGGCAGGAACAATGGGTTATTTATATAGAGATAAGTAAGTATTTTAAAATATTAAATATTAATAAATATTAGAAAAAAAAACAATTAATAATACTTTCTTTTTGTTAAATAGATATTTGCCCGTTTCACAAAAAATTGTTATGGCTCGTATGTATTCACAAGCATTGATGATAGGATTAATTATTGGTACTTCTGCTTTAAGTTTGTATGATGATAGACCACAACCAGTCTCAAGTTCAGAAGATCATTGGAAAGATGTTGTCCGTGAAGAAGAAAGAAGAATAAATAAGATTTCATAAAAACCTTATATTTTTTATTATTGTTAATATTTTTTTATAATTCATCTAATATAAGCTGGATTAAAAATTATATTTTTTTACTCGAGCCTTTATCTAACGATATAACGCCACAAAGAAATTTCGGGGGTCAAAAAACTGTTGCTTCTAATTAAATAATTTCTCATTTGTTGTCTTTTTGTTTATTTTTCTTTCTCAATTGCTTGATTTTCTGGTTTGCTTTTAATTGATCTTTTGTAATTGTTTTATTTTCGATCAATTTTAATAAAATGGTCGACATGTATTGTATACAAAAATTACATAATAGAGGTTCCTGTTCCTTGTTTGTATATTAATATCCAGCATTGGCAATTTGGACTTATTGGACTGGGACTATTTATAATTGAGGTAACATCTGATTTTGATAAAGTTTTTGCTAAAAGTTGCATGAACTATTTTGGCTATAGCAGAAAATTTTTATATCCAAATCAGGTAAAGCAATTTTTAAATTAGGGGTGGGTAAAAAAAAATTTAAAATAGAAAAATAGGCAAGGGTTAAATATAGAAAGTTTTGTGTTTTCCATTTTAAGTAAATTTTCTAAAGCCCTCCCTGCTTATTACTAAATTATTGACAACAGTGTTGGCCATGGTACCAGTCCATTGGTGTAACATTTCAATGAAGTTACATGTCATGTCTTATATGGGTAAATCTTTTAATTTTTTGACATGTTATATGCTAAAATTGGTAGAGAAGAAGTTACTTAAAAGAGTAAAACTCTAAAATTTACTAATAGTGTGAAATATGCACAAGCAGGGTCTTAAAGAAATGCTTTGCAATCGGATTCAATTCTTTAATATGGAAAACAAAAATTAATTCATTACAAACTATTATTCATGGTCTAGAAATTCTAATAATCCATGAATTAAAACTTATTCATCGTGATTTTCACAGTGGTAATGTTTTGACAGATGATATTTGTGACCACAACAAAGGAGCAGACAAGTCAACCAAAATAGTTGGCATCATTCCTTATATTACATCAGAAGTTTTATGCGAAGACCTGTACACTAAAGCAGCAGATATATACAGTCGGTGTTCGATATAAGGAAGAATCGATTTTGGCAAAAAACTTCACTATATCATTATATGGAGGGTTTATATTAAAATCATTATATCGAGCTGAAATTTATATATAACGAAATTTCTCAATTTCATTATATCGTACGATTCACTATATGATAGGTTCACTATATCGAGCACTGACTGTATAGTTTTGGCATCATAATGACTGAATTTTCAACAAGCTTCATTTAGCAACGAGGTACATGGTAATAATTTGATTCTTAAAATTTGCTGCGAGGGGAATTTGCAAGAGGAAAACCAAAATTTTACCAAGAGTTGGTTGAAAAGTGCATTGATTCAAATCCAATAAACAGACCAACTGCAACAGATGCAGGACAAGCTATAGAATTTTGGTCTGACGCTTTGCTCAAAAAAAAAAAAAATTTTTTTAATTCATTATAATGATATTAGAACAAAATATGATGTTGATTGTACCGAAAGGAAATGGAAATCATTAGATAAATAAGTTTTAGGGGTTATTATTCACAAGCTATAAAATCCGTCAACCATAGCGATTTCAATGATTTACGGACAATTTAATTTGGTTGTGATGGATGATTTGGATAAAAATCAATCATGTGATTTGATTTTTAAACAATATATATTTTACATTAATCAATAATTGAGGAAGAAAAAAAATTTCTTGGTTATACAATTTATTGATTTCTTGTAATTTTCAAATTATTTTATTTGATGGGAAATTGAAAAGTAAAAATAATTATTTCAATGCATTTAAATATTCGAAGAATTTCTAAAACACGAATTTCGTCGTCAGATTTTCCATCTTTAAATAGCAATAGTACATTTATCAACAAATCCACCAAGATTTACTTTTATTTCGCCAATCTTAAATATTATATGAATTTTTATTTTAAAATTAACAATTATAAAAAACTGCCAATATTTACAAATTCATTTTTGCCAACATCGTCTAAAGTTGAAGATTGATAATAATAGCCTTTTGATTTTTCGTATTTGCTAAATTTTGGAGGAAAATAACAATAATTTCAAAATGTAATAAATGGTTAAATATTTACACTAATGTTTTAAAGAGTCAAACAGAAGAGCTTCAATTCACTTCGTTTGTAAATATATTTATGTACCATTAGTGCAAGATCCTTTGCTCCTCAGAATTTTACAAAATGTTAATAATTATTATTAAAAAAAAGGGGTTTGCTTATTAATTAATTATTATAGTGTAGACTTTGATTTTTTTGAGTTCGCCTGTGAATGCAATTACAAGGCGAACAGGAACTCCATTTCATCATATGATAATTTTGCGTTTCTTGATAAATAAGAGGGATTGGGTCAAAGAAAGGGTCACTTTTTCGTCGTTAGAGGAAATTACTTGACAAGTTGGTTCCCCCCACAGGTTGGTAGCCGTGATTCCGAACGAACGATCTTATTAAAACATCCGGGCAGCGGTGGTTTATGTTTTGGTTGTACGTAGCAAGCCGTTGACATTTGTAGAACAAGTTGGTTTTCATCCAACCTACCATGAATTGGTGGCTGTGATTGCAAATATAGACACGCAATTCTTATTAAAAGCTGTTAGTTTTGGGGCGCAGTGACCCAATCAATTTGCTTATGTGTTGTTGATCACAGAAATTTTTAATTGATTAACATCAACGAGGATATAGGTTGAATGAAAAGTATAAAATAAAAAATTTTCTCCATGTTATTTGGAAATATATGGATGAAATAGTAATAATTTACTATTTGACAATTTAGAAAATAACTGAAAAGATGATGACAACAGGTTTGACAAATTTCTACTAGAAGGGCCAAGAAATATACGTTATGGTACATGTAAAACTTGTATATAGTCAAATTAATGCTCATGATTAATGGTGCAGAACATGGGGCTTAAACTTCTTGCTGAAGGTTGGACAACTAGTGGGAACGAAAAAATTGACGAATTCATAAGAAAAACACAACTTGATTCAACAAGATACGATGATTTGTTTATGGAGTGGATACCTTATAATAAATTTAAGGACATCAAACAAATTAGAAAAGGTTGATTTGGTAAAATATATAGTGCAACATGATTGGATGGATGTCAAAATGGAATCACAGACGAGAATAAAGAATACGTTCGGAAGCGTTAACTGTAGTATTAAAATTAACTCATGATCAATTAAAGGATTTCTTGAATGAGGTATTAATGATTGATTGATTAATTATTATTATTAATTATAATTAGGATTAAAATTCTAACAAATATTATTTGTTCTTTTCTTTAATTACTCATGCATTATAAATGCCAGAAAAAAGACGTATCAGCATGGTTGAGCTTTATGGGATTTCTCAAGATCCCATTAATAAAGAATTCATCATTACCTTGGAATATGCAAAAGAAGGATCTTTAAGTTCGACATGTTGTGGATTGTAATTAATGCACGAAATAGATTGGTTCATCAAAATTTTCATAGTGGTAATATTTTAATTCAAGATGGTGCTTTTATTTCTGATTTCGGGATTATCAACTGCAATTAATAAAACAGCAACAATAAAATGATAGGTGTCTTGCGCCAAATTTTTATGCAGAAATCATATCATATACTAAAGCGACAGATATATAGTTTTGGCGTCATGATGACTGAGTTCTCAAAAGACAAATTCCCATTTAGCAACGAGACACATGGTACTGATTTGATTCTTGAAATTTGTTGTGAGGGGGTTAAGCAAAAGGAACATCAGATTTTTATACTTGTTTAGTGAAAAAATGAAAAAATGTCTTGATGTAAATCCAGTAAAAAGACCAACCAAATGCTGAACAAGTTTTGGAGTTTTAGAAAAGTGCTTTACGCTCTAGTAATGAATATCTTAATGTAAGGAAATGTGATGCTGATTGTGCTGAGGAGCAATTGAAAGAAATGGAAATCATTGGATAAACATTTATAAAATTAGATGAAATTAATTCAGAGCGTGCCTAAATCAAACATAGAAAATCATAAAGAAACAATATTTAAAAGTAGATTCTTTGGAATTGAAGATGTTTCACAACTAGTGAGTTCTAGGGGCTATTCACAAGCTATAAAATCCGGCTGTAATTGCGATTTCAATTATTCACGACAATTTGTGTTGGGATAAATTTCAAAAATTTAATCATGTGATTTGATTTTTAATAAAACTAGAGTTGTAAAAAGTCAATTTTGGACACTATTTAATAAATTAGAAATTTTTATTTAATTTTTTGTACATGAAAAATTCCCAAATTTGCAAAAAAAGATACAAGTATAAATAAACAATTTACATAAAACGTATATTTATATTAAAGGAACATTTAATATGTAAAAATAAATATTTCATTCATTTAATTAATCAAGAAGTTCTAAAATAACATGGACTTCGCCATTAGATTTTCCATCTTTAGAATATACATTACACCATCTATCAATGTATCTTTTATCATCAGCAAGTTCAAAATCGCCGAGGTCTAATTTTGCTTCACCAATCTAATAGTATATTATATGATTAAGCAAAATTTTTATTTTAAATAAACAATTATAAAAACTGCTAATATTTACAAATTCATCTTTGCCGACATCGTCATCTATAAGATGAAGAGTGATAGCCTTTTGATTTTCATATTTGCTAAATTTTTTGAGGAAAAGAGGATGTAAATAACAATACTATATTAGAAATAAATTATATATACTAACATTGTGTATCTTTTATCCCAAACAGGGGTGGTTGTTCCACATCTCGTCTCAGTTGTATATTTTTTAGTAGAAGTATCAAACCAAAATTGAACGTATGGGTCACCTAAATAAATTAATAATTAATAATAACAAATGATTTTCTGTGGAAGGAACTTTTTTTATCACACAAACCTTTGCCTATTAGTTATTTATATAAAAATGTATTAAATTATTATTAATTAAAAAAACATTAT